AATAACATAGCAATATACTAATGTTGTGAGTAACATAAAGTAATACAGAGTATTATGACTATTATATACAAAGCAATATACTAATGTTGTGGGTGATATAGAGTAATACTGAGTACTATTACTTTGTTATATACATAACAATATACTAGTGCTGTGAGTAATATAGAGTAATGCAGAGTATTAATACATTATTATGAGTAATATAGAGTATTATATACATAGTAATATACTAGTACTTTATTATATACATAGAAATATACTATAAGAGAACATATCTTGTTTGGTGGTGTGAGGGAGAAGTTACTATAAAACTTGTTAGAAAAAGGAACAAACATAACTAAAAGAAGAAAATCATTACTTGTTAGGAGATAAAGTATAAAACAAAACAAGAAAATAACAGATAAAAGAAAGAGAAAAGATAAAGATATAAACTTTTAAATGATAAGATAAAAATAAAAAAGAAGATGTTGATTTTACATTCAAAAGGCAAAATTAAAAAATAAGAAAAGAAGAAATTAAAAAGACCAGAAAGAAGATGGAACATATGGGAGGAAAATGTTACCTTGTGCATGTTGTGTAGGTTGTGGGTCGAACACAGGAAATAAGAATGCTACGGTGAAAACTTTCTAAGTTTAGTAGACTCCTTAATACATTCACTAAGAAGGGTTTTAACAAGGTTTAACCATTTAAGTTGTTTTCCCCTATTAGCTGGATGGGCTATATCTTATTATTGATATGGGTTTATTTAAAATAGGCCCAAATATTATTTTAAAAAATTTAGAACCCTTTACCGGTCAGGCGTGCGCTTCTAGCGCTTCTGCGCCTCTTGCGCTTCGTGCGCTTCTTGCGCTTATATTGCGCCTCAGTCAGACAGCCTCGCCTGGAAGAGTATAAGGCGCTGCACCTCTATAGTGCCTCGCCTGGTGCGCTTAAGCGACAAGGCGCGCGCTTTTGACTACCCTGGTTCAAAGCATTCTTGAACATATTTCACTTAAATAAACTTATAATATGTAAGTAAGTCATCTATCACAACATCAATTCTTACTTCTTAGTACAACAATGCATCAACAATTTTAAATTAAAAGGAAACATTTACCGGGCAATTCTTAGCATAAATAGATATTTAATTTGTTGATTTATTAATAGGAAGCTTAATACTCTGTAGATTTTACCATGCCTCTTCAAAGATTTCTGAACTTTTATGTGGAAGTAACATGGTTTTAAAAAGCGTTTAGCTTTTACGCCCTTGAGGCGCAAAGGCGCAAAGGCGTTCATTAATCGCCTGTAAGTCCTAAGCCTTACCTCCCGTTAACAAGGCTTACGCCTTTCTTTTGCTGAGGCGTCAAAGTGGGCGGTGGGCGCAAAGCGTAGACAAGGCGTACGCCTCTAATTCTATGCAAGTTGGGCTTATTTTATTTATTTATTGGGGGCCTTGTTTTATTTTCCATCGTAAATATCTAGTCGCGTCGCTCGTTTATCAGTTAGTCGACATCCCTAGTCCTCGCATATCGCTGTCTTCAACTATTCTACGATATTAGCAAGCAACAACTTGAAGAGCTGCTAAGTCGAAGCTCCAGTACGAAGACTTCAGGAACTGCTTCTTGCTTCGTCCAAGTAATTATAAATAGCACCGCCCTCCTATAGTTTCTTATGGTTTTTATTGTTTTAACTTTTAAGTATTTTTATCTAAAGTTTTAGATATTTAAAAGTTCATTTTTTGGACTATTTAATACCATCATCCCTTTTTTTATACGAAGTAACTAATTAACTGAATTAAAATTTTATTTAACGCTTTTAGACTTGAACTACTATTTTTTCTTCCAGAGTATTAGTCTGTGGGAGTACTACTACTTATTCTACCAGAGTAGTCTAGGGTCAATCTGATGTTTGTCTGTTTTTAATTTAACACTATAAGTTATTACTTATTGTTATATTTATTAGCCTACGGCTTAAACTTTAAAGTTTTCATACAAAACTATCATTTAGCTTAATAATTATTTGCTTAATACTCTGTATTTACTAGTTTGCTTGACTCAAGATTTACAATTTAATTAGAAATATTATATTTAACTTCATTAGAATTTAGTTGTATACTTATTTCATTTTTACTTGTGATTTTGTTTAGCTGCACTATTGTTATGAATCATCTAAACTATTGTTATGCATTTAATTTCGAGGCTTACGCCTCATTACGCCTCGAGGCTTACGCCTCGTGAGGCTACCACTGAACGCCTCGAGGCCCGATTTCGCCTTTCAAAACCTTGGGAAGTAATTCCCAGTAGAGATATACTTTCGAAAGCAAACCACTTTTGTTAGAAGCTGCACAAATAGGTTCAAGCAACTAATTAGAATTTTTTGCACAAATACATTTCAGTTAGGCCTGCAAACATAAACTGCCACTGGTCTTCAAACGATAAAACACTGGTTCAGTCTCAAAGTGAAGAAATCAAAGTATCAAACTACCAATTACCAATTATCAAACTATAATTGAAGAAAGAATGAGTCTCAAAGTATAAAATTTCGAACTAAAATTCTAACTCCTTATAATAAAATCAAAGAATTGCAGTGGTTCATTACTCAGCGTAATCAAAATCAAAGAATCTGATTGAATATGTTGAGAGAACAACTGAAATAATTGGATTAATAATTCTAAAAACCTGGAATTAGAGCCTGGAAGTCGTGCGTAGCTGAAAGCCTGAAAGCGACGGCCGACCGCCGACGGCCTAGCTTCGTCGACGGAATATGATGGCCGCCTTTGCGTTGAGCGTCGAAGGCTGTCTATTCGTCTCTGCCATCTCCGTCTCTGAGTTCGCACACTTCGCAGTTCGAACTACAGAGATTTAGTCTTCGTCTAGGGCTTTTAGGTTTGTGGAAGTGTGGAGTGTGGGTCGAAGCTTCTTTCGCAGAGGAATGAGCGGAGTAACTTTAAGTATATTTAGTACACCGTATATATTAAGTTTTTTTTTGAACAAAGTAGACATTAAGTTATTAACTAAATAAATAAACCTTTCAGAAAAACTAAATATATACAATAAGTATGATTTTTATTTAGAGATACCGGTCCGGGTTGGATACCACTTTTTCAGAAACATAAAAACCGCCCAGACCCGAAAATTGAGATTATCGCCCCGTCTCGTCCCGTTATGAATTTTTAAAAATCGAAACCGACCCTAAATCGACCCGATCCATGGTTCCTGGACTCGTTTGCCCAACCCGGGTTGGATATCACTTCTTCCTTTTATTATTTTGCAAACATATTCTTAGTCCATCCCGTTTTTAAGCGCTATAGTATAGTTTTAGCTGGGCTGAAGTGTTAAAAAAATATGGCGTTAATTTTTCCCGCTTTACACGTGTTACATTAGGGTCCACCAAAGGTAACACTTGTTGAACAAATGTAACAGATTATTAAATAATATATCAGCGTTACAATAGCACTATAGTAAATGCAACACTTTTGGTATAAATGTAACACCACATTGGAAACTATTACATTAGACCCTTTTTTTGTAACACTTTAGACAAATGTTACAATTTTTTTGTTACATTAGGCCTTAAAATGTAGTAGTGTTGTTAGATAACCTTGTTTTGCTAAACAAGGTTATGTATACAACCCGCTCTACTCAAATGACTACATTTTTTTTTTGAAGTAGCGCATTTTCAAGACCTAAGTAGGTAACACTATTGAATATGGAAAATCTCTTTTCAATTGGTTGTGAGTCTTGTGACAAATGTACATTTGTACTACGTACTAGACTACTAGTTAACTGAGTTCAACTTTTGAGAATTGGTTGTGGGTGAAATATGGCCTAAATGTTTGATGTATAAAAAACAACCCCAATCTCAAAATTAATATCACTGTTCGTTTTTTATAATATTTTGTGCACTAATCATATACTACCTCCGTCCTTCTCTTATATTGGGACGGAAGAGGGTAGCACGATAATTAAGAAAAGTAGATTTGTGTGCTTAATATTAATTGATAAAATAAGAATAAAGTAAAAATGATTTAGAGCCATACAAACTTTACCAAATATGGTATGCGACAATTTTAGTGAGATTTTCCGAAAAGGTAAAACGGAACAATATAATGGGAACGGAGGGAGTAGTTATTTTTATAATGTGCTTTGTGCAGAATTAAGCCATTAATTACTATTTTGTTCACTGCATCTTTAGTTGACTACCACAACTGGCGTGGACAAGGACACAAGGTCCGTGGACCAGACCAAACAAGGGTTGGTTTTTTAACCGGCACCCCTTTTCCGGTTCCAGGCTAAAACCGAGATCAGGGTGGGTATAGAAGCTTTGTTCCCGAGTTGCATTTTCTGGGATCAGCAGGAACCGGTCCCAGCCCCATTTCATTTTTTTTGCATTGGGTCTATCAAGAAGGAACTTAAAAGTTGTGGGGGTCCATTAAAAGCTGCAAAGGAGTTGGAAGTGGAAGGAGGGAATGGAGCGTTTTGCAAAATAAAAAAAAAACCCACTAGACCAGGACTAGACTAGAACTAGTCCAACCTAGAACCAGAAATATAAGTCCAGGTCCCTGGCCTCACTAATGTTTTTAGGACCAGCCGGTCTGTGTCCATGCCTATTGTCCAAGTACAAGTAGTGCACAACTGAAGAGTCCATAAAAAAAGCATCTTATCTAAGCTTTTTAAAGTAAAACTAGGAATTTACTTTAGGGATGGATGAAGAATTTGTAATTATTTTTATAAAGGAAACAGATTTTAAAAAGTAAGAGTAAGACTTTAGTTTTCATTCATAAGAGACCTGAAAAACATTATTTGCTCTATTGTTTTGTATCATCTACCAATTCTGCGAGCACAGACAAACAAGTTATTGGATGACAAAAAAAAAATTGGCTACCAAGGCTTTTAAATACAAATAAGAGGTCTCTAAGCGGTCATTTAGCATGGTCTATTGCCCTCATTGGTGCTATGAGCATTCTGACTTCTGAGTAGCAAATGATCAATGATTGTGAATTTGTGAATATGTGTGTCCAGGATTCCCCGGGGAGCTTTCTGTGAAGGTGACCTATATGATCATCGGCAAAAACAAACTTATCCTAAGAATGAAAGCCAAGGCTCTGAACAAGGCCACGCCAGTAAATCTGGCCTCACATACCTATTGGAATCTAGGAGGCCATGACAGTGGGGATATCTTGTCACATAAGATCCAGCTGTTTGGCTCAAAGATCACTCCTCTCGATGAAGAGTCCATTCCAACCGGTGCCATTGAACCAGTGAAGGGTACACCATACGATTTCCTGACAGCCCCGGTTATCGGGAGTCGGTGGGATGAGCTTCCAGGTGGGTACGATATCAACTATGTGTTGGACAGCCACGGGTTCACGCATCTGCAGAAGGCTGCTGTCATTGAAGACAGGAAATCCAGCAGAAAATTGGATATGTGGACTAATCAGCCTGGTGATATCTTGTCGCATAGGATCCGGCTGTTCAGCTCAAAGACAACACCCTTGGATGATCAGCTCATCCCGACCAGTGCAATTGAACCAGTGAAGGGTACATACGGTTTCCTGAAGACCCGAGTTATAAGGAGTCAGTGGGATGAGCTTACAGGTGGATACAGCATCAACTACATGTTGGACAGCCACGGGTTCAGGCATCTGCGGAAGGCTGCCGTTGTTGAAGACAGGAAGTCTGGCAGAAAATTAGAACTGTGGACTAATCAGCCTGGTGTTCAGTTCTATACTAGTAATATGTTGAACGACACAAAGGGAAAAGGCGGTTTTGTGTACAGAAAACATGCGGCATTGTGCTTGGAAACTCAAGGCTTTCCAGATGCTGTGAACCACCCGAACTTCCCGTCCCAGATTCTGAATCCAGGGGAGACATATGATCATGTCATGGTATTTAGGTTCACGGCTCATTAGCATTTAGAAATGGTTTTCTAGTGTGCTTTTGTTACTAGTGGTATATGTTACTTTCAAACAATTTGCACCGAACTGACAGATGTGAGCCTATAAAAATGGTTCATTGCAAAAAAGAACGGTTGATGAATAGTAATAATAATAATAATCTGAAGTCTGATAAATATATACAAGGGCGACTGAATGAAAGAATGAAGAAAAATCACTAGATTACATGAATGGAAATTTACTAGTTTCTCAGTTTTCCATAACAAAACTACTATATGCTTGTATATCCAGATGAGTCTTCAAAATTCAAATGGCCAATTTAAGGACATGATGGAGAAGTATAGTAGCTTTAATTAATATTACGAATGATGACTAGTTATTATTAAAATAGTTTTTGTTCAATTAGTTTTAAATAAATAATATTATTAAAGCCACTGAAGTTCTATAACTATTTTTCATAGCCTCATAAGAGAAGAGCCGAAGCTAAAAATAGTTTGCTCTTCGATTTTTTATAAATTGGCATTTTGCAAGCCTAGGACCAGGACAAGCATCATAATGTGTATGGACCAGACTAGTAAAGCAAATAATTGTTGAACCCCAAAAATATATGCAAGTATAACCTGAGCAAGCCTCAGCTCAACTTGCCATCGTATCCTCTATAAAATCTGTGGGTAGAACAGAACTAGAGGAAGACAACATTTTTTTTATTCATAAGCTGTGGGGGATATATAATTGAAGGGGTGAAATAGTTTTCCAACCCTTGATAAGTTTAGGATAGAATTATTAATGTATTCATTTCATCGATTAAACAATCACCCTAAGCATTCAAAACCATGAGACCAATCTGAGACCCTTCTTACTTGACCAGGCTTGGGAGACTTATTATTAGTTAGATTAGAATCCCTTGACAACAACGAGGGTGAAGAACGGCGGTTGTTGCTATTGCACTTGGGCGATTGGAGCTGTTCTAATATTTCCAGCACGTAGGCCATGTCAGGCCGCCTTTTGGTCTCAGGACGCGTGCATTGGTATGCAAGACTGGCTGCAAAAAATGCCGCGTTCCGAGGGTACTGTCCCTCTAACCGGGTGTCCATGATTCTCGACACTGCCCTTTTCTCATGCAGATATGGCCTCACCCACTCTATCAGAGTGTAGCCTTGACCCAATGATTTGTCCCTCACTCTGCGACCCGTTAGAAGCTCAAGCAATACCACCCCAAAGCTGTACACATCACACTTCGCTGATAGTCTACCTGTTCGTAATAAGAAGCTTCATATAAAAGAGAGGTGCTTGGACTTGCATGAGTTAGTCTCACCGTGACACATCAAAATATTGTGCCCTATTTTACCTTTTAATGTACGGAGTATTCAGTATTCATTATGGCATTTTGAACACGTCTCATAATGAGTGTCTCACACAAGTTAGGGTTGATTTTTTGCCATTATCTAGCGCCCATAATCAAGGCCAACCCTAAGAATCGGAAGGAGTATGTAGCAGTAAAGATTTGAGTTCATAACTTTTATGATATATTTATAACTGAGCCATGTAATCCATGAAACTTCTTAAGAAAATGTGGCATATTTAATTCATGAAACCCAGAGGCAATATGTTTTTGCCAGGTAAATAATCAAGGCCCACACTACCCGTCTGCCCATAATTGATGAACCGCTCACCTGTAGTCATGTATTCAGGGCAAGTATATCCTTGTGTGCCCATAACCTGAGTCGAAACGTGTGAATGATCACCAGTCGGACCAAGCTTGGCCAAACCAAAGTCTGAAAGCTTTGCATTAAATTCCTTCATCAACAAAAAACAGAAATATAACAAAAGGCATGCAGAATATCAGTTCATAAGCTTCAAAATCCAGTGGACGCAAATTATAACAAGAAAAGTTATTGATCACACCGAATCCAAGAGGATATTTGAAGCTTTAAAATCACGATATATAACTTGAGGATCACAGTTATGCAAAAATGAGAGTCCACGAGCAGCCCCAACGGCAACCTTCATCCTTTTTTCCCAAGAAAGAGGTGAATTTGTCTTCCCTGTAGGTAAAATATCATTGCATACATTGTTTTTGAAGAGTGAGTTTTCATTGACTATATATGAAAGAAAGATTTATCCCCTTAATAAGCCTTGGATAATTGATTCATCACCACGCCTCTTCAATCAGGTCCTACCCCTTACATACATTTCTTCAAATACATTCAAATCAAGTTTCTTAACATCAAGAATTCGAATTGGAATCTTTTCTACCACAAATCACATAATGTATGAATTTAATTAAAAAAACAATCTCCAAAGTAGAGTTTGAGGCTTACTTCTGAAAAGATGATTTTCTAAGCTCCCTCTAGGCATAAACTCATACACTAATAACCGATGATCACCTTCCAAACAGAAACCCGTAAGTTTGACCAAATGCGGATGATGAAGTTGGCCAAGAAATTTCACTTCTGACTACAATATAATATGATTGGAACACACTAATAAAAGAAAAGAAAAGAAAAGAAAAGAAAAGAAAAGAAAAGAGAACAAATAAGTAGTACAGAAATAAGAACTCACCAACCACTCTTTATGACCCTGAACACCTCGAAGTTTAAGTCTTTTAACAGCAACTTCCATTCCTGATCCGGGATTCGAAGCAGTTAAGGTATCCCTGTCTAACCATCCCTTGTAGACACAACCAAAGCCTCCTTCACCAAGAAGGTTACAGAAGTTTTGTGTGGCCTCCTCAAGCACACTCAGCAAAAAAGACTTTAGGTCTGGAGATGATAATATTTCAAATTCAGACCTTGGGTTTGGAAGACTTCCAGCTCTGCTATGTGATGAGGACTTCTCGGAGCCAGTTGGAACTGGCAAAGGATGACTCTCACGTTCTCTGTTTTCTGAATGAAAAGCATAGTGTTATATCAACAAAAACTTTTAGAACCAGTTTCATAAGCATAGTGTTATATTCTGCAATATAACTCGAGCCTTTAATAAATCTGGGGAAGTGAGGACTGTTAAAAAATCATCAGTTACTAAGGTGTTGCATTTTTAATATTTAGGTCGATGCACAAGTACACAACACTCTTCAAAATGTAACCCATTTCTGTTGTTAAATTTTTTACCCAGAGGCTTCATTAAACGGCTACTTTAATGGCTAAAGTTAAAAGCTCATGCTTTATGCCAGCAGGGTTAAACTTGGATACATATACTATGAGCAAGAAAGTGGACGGTGTGAAATTTAACCCACATTACATGAAATTCGATTTTCCCACCTCTCATCTTTCATTCCACTTTTTATAGAAATTAATGAAACCCATAATAAATAAATAAATTCCAAATCGTGATCCATAAGAGAATGCAAATATCTAAAAGCAACAGAAAAGAGACAAGAAACATACCCGTAGATGTAGTGTGAGTGGTCGTTGAGGCAGAAGCAGGAAACGAAAAGCTTCCAGCTTTTGGGATTTCGCTAATACGCTGTGACCTTCTGAAGCAATTTCCCATGGCGGAAATTGGTCTCGGGATTCGAATAGCCCGCGAAAATGACGAAACAAATCAATAAAATTGGTTGCTCGTGCCCAATCCCTGCTCCCCCATCTCCGGTATTCATAGAGAAGACGAAGGACAGGGAAATTAGCAAAAAGAGCATTACGTACAATTTGTTTTTTGCTGTGAAATGTTTTTGTCGCGAGCATGAGATGAACGAGACAATTCTGAGGGTGCTCCGATGGCGGGAGGATTTGCTGACTTACGAATCTACCCCTCAACAACATTTGGCCATTTGGGTATCTGTCTATCTCGGCTAATTTTGTTGTTCAAAGTTGTTAAAGGTTAGACAATGATTTTATGTGTTATATTTGAGTCTAATTTATAAAATTTATACTTTAATGAAAGATTTTTTAATAAAGAATAAGTTCATATATTTTTCATATTTTAAATAATTTTGTATCAAAAGATATTATTGGTCAAACTTGACCGTCATTGACCAAGAAAAGTCAAATTGGATAATCTTTTTGGAACGGAAGGAGTATAATATTAAAACTACGTAATATTCTTTATAAGAAACATTTGCATAAATGTATAAATTTTATAAATTTAACACAGATATAATAAAAAAATCATTGACTAGAAAAGTCAATATGATTAAGTTTTGTGAAATGGGGTGAGCATTAGTTTTTTAGGCATAATTTATTAATATGAAAATAGTGTTTGTAGCTCAGAGGTGGTCACGAGGGCAGATGAGATTTTATAGTGTTGGGAAGCTACCCAGGCAAGTGTGGTGAAAAGTGCTCAGAAACAAAAAGTGCACTCGGCTGATGCAGGAAGCCGCAGACGAGAGTTATCAAAGTTAATATTGATGTTGTTGTTAATGAGTGTTGGGATATACTTAGGGCCTAGAGTTGGGTTGCTAGGATGGATAAAAGGGAGTTTATGAAAGCATCCATTACCTCTAGAAGGTGGGTTTGGAGTCCGACTAAATCTAAGGCATGGGGTGTGTGGGATGCTATTGAAGATGCGACTCGAGAGGGGTGGGAGTGTGTTGAATTTGAGTCGGATGCGTAAATGATAGTGAATGGTATACGAAGGGGACAAGGGTGCTCCTACTTTGACATGCTATTGGAGGGTATTCGAGTTGCACTGAAAACAAAAAGGATTAGCAACCCGTTTACTAACACATGCATTTTCCTGTTTTTTTTTTGTTTTCCGTTCTCAGATTTTCTTTTTTAATTCTCCTATTTTTCTATCTCCAATTTTCTGTTTTCATTTTCCTGTTTTCCATTTTCAAATTTGAAAACATGTTCATCAATTATTTTTCACCCGATTTTGGGACCGGCCGAAAGTATGGTTTCATTCCATAATCGAACCTAGTACAACCCAAGTAGGGTACCCGGTCCGGATCAATCCCAACAGCTAGTTTGACTATTAGTCGGCAACCCAACAACTCTTTTGAAACTCTTCACTTGGAAAAAATGTTTTTAAAAAACGAGGACCGTACCATATCGCTGGGTCATCAACCGGACAGGGACCTTCGGGTCGTTGACTGAACCGTACAGGGACTGTCGGGTTATTGAACGGAGCGGGCAAGGACCACCGCATCATTGTCTTGACCGGGACTGGCCGGCCATCAACCGACCTGAACATGTATCATCGGGTCATTGGCCAAATCGGACAGTGACTATCGGGTCATCAACTGGACCGGACAAGAACCATCGTCTTTAATTGTACATGACAGGCACTGTTGGGTCGTTGACTGGAGCAGAACTGCCCGACCGTTGACGGATAATGACCGCCAGGTCGTCAACCAGACAAGGACCGTTAGGTCGTTGATTGGACTGATTAGGGATCGCTAGGTCGTGATCGGAGTGGGACCGAGCTCACTACTAGGCGTAAGTATGCATTGCAGCAGCAGCGCAACATCTGCGTACTTCAAATTTGGAAGGGAAAAATAAATAAAATACCTCAAACTTTGAAGAAGTGTGAGATAAACACCCCAAACTTTCATATGTAATTTAAATATCTCAAACTTTATATAAAAAGTTATTTTAACACCATGGTCATTTTTTTTTTTCAAAAATAGAAATTTACGGTGCTAATTGCATAATTTAAAATAGCAAATTAAAAATGTTGCAATTATATAGAGTGGGAGTAGTGTTTTTTATTTTACAACAAAAGTTTAGAATATTAATTATATATTAATGAATGCTAAAATATTTTAAATTATGAGATTAACACCAAAAATTAACATTCTTGAAAGAAATAATGCATGATCATGGTGCTAAAATAACTTTTAATATAAAGTTTGGGGTATTTAAATTACATATGCAAGTTTGGGGTGCTTACCTCACACCCCCTCAAAGTTTGAGGTATTCTAATTATTTTTCCCAATTTGGAAAATTAGTAATAGTAAAACTCATTTCTCCAATTCATTAAGGAAATCAGGGACATCTCATTTTTTTTGTTTTCAAAAAGGATTTGGTAAATGCATTTTCCTTTTTTCCTTTCTCCAGTTTTCCAGCAATTGTCTTTAATAAACAGAAAACTTGTTGTTGTTTTTTCAGTTTTTTAGTTTTCTAGAAAACTAGAATATATCTCTGTTAGTAATTAAGCTGGAAAATATCTCTGTTACTGATATGCGAACTGCGTTGCTCATGTGTTACCTAGGCAATGTGTATTAATACCTGATCAAGATAGAAGTTCTGATGTTCTTTTTATCATAAAAACAAACCACTTATATTAATATCACTAGGAATCGGATCGTTACAAAAAACTCAAAAAGACCAACCCTGACAACAACTATCCCTAACTGATATGCGGACTGCGTTGCTCATGTGTTACCTATGCAATGCGTATTACTACCTGATCAAGATAGAAGTTTTGATGTTCTTTTTTATCATAAAAACAAACCACTTATATTAATATTACTAGGAATCAAATCGTCACAAAAAAACTCAAAAAGACCAACCCCGACAACAACTATCCCTAACCAACTAGCACTATCAACCCTACGGCTATACTCAGAGACGATCACTCCCGAAAGAGCAAAACAAATCGCTAACCACCAAACGGGTGTGACACATGAATCACTGGCCATATCGATCCTTCTAACGACATAATATCTAGCAGAATTGTCAATCATAATTGTTGACCTAAAACTAAAGACATCAACAAAAAACAGAGCAACATAAAACATGACGCAAAAATAAAACTATAAAAAAAATTGATAAATCTTCCAAACCCTAGTACCTAGATCGCTCCAAGGCGGACCACTGCCACTCTCCGGCCGCCGTCATGACCTCAAAATTGGCCACCGTCGCAGATCTAACCGCCACCGTTGCAAATATGGCCGCCGCAGCTACAGATCCGTCAACTGCTGAACCTACAAATCCGGCCGCCGCCACTGCAGATCCGGCCGCCGCTGTTACATCTCTGACCATTGCCGCCGCTGTTGCCAACATTTTTATCAGAATGTCAACATGAATGGAGAATGCCATTTTAATGGAATTTTCGAAGGGAAACACAATTTTTCGAAGAATAAGAATGCCATTTTTATGGCATTTTTAGATTGAATTTGGCAAAGAAGAAATTGACCAAGCGTCGGACCTGCGAGAAAAAAAAGAAGAGGGATAGAGAGAATAACAGTAGAGGAGGAGGAGAAGCAAAGACCGAATGATGGGGAGTTGAGCTTCATTCTGCGGTAGTAGATCTTAATGTACTGGATTTGTCCCTCTCTGCTCGCCCCTGTTGACCTCTAGTTTCGCTGCTAGTCGATAGTTGCCGCAGTTGCTCGCCGCTTCTGGAAACTCGTTGTTGCAGGTTTCAACAAGAAAAGATTTGAGTAGTTTGGAGAAGATGAGTAGGTTGTAGAAGATGACTAATGATGCACAGAGAATAATTTGTAAATCAAAGAAGAAGAAATGATCTGCCAACAAGAAAAGTGGTGCGCGGATAGAGGCTCATGTGGGGAAGCTGATGCGAGTAGGAGGGGTAAATTTGGAATAGTAGTCCTATTTGGGAATAAAAATACATATACTCCTATTTGGGAATTTACACAATAATTTAGTCCTATTTAGGGTAAAAAAACTCATTAACAAACGATAAAATGTTTACTACATTTATGTTTTTATAGATAAATTGTTGTGTAGATATTAGTATGCTAAATAAATTTTTAAATAAAATCAAAACATAGATAAAGCATACACTTTCAAAAAAGATAAAGTATATAAAGTCTTTGGCGGCATTTTTCTGAAAGAAAAACAACTATTTATTAATAATAAGTATGATCAGTATACAAGTAATCCTTTTTTGACCGAGTATACAAGTAATCCTGATAGCCTAAGGCTACAATAATGAGATGAGACATAGAACTGAATAATTTCAAAGAAACATAACAATTTGCTAACACCGCAATGATGTAGACTCTTCTATCAACAAAGAGCTTATGCTACTTAAACAAACATATAAATCGGTTTCACCATCCACCGACAAGAAAATAATAAAAAATCGGGTGTGTTCAGCCAGCAGAAAGAAACAACTAGAATCCTCAGTTTGACCAGTTAATGGGAATACAAATATTATCGGTTTGACCAGTCACCGATGAGGGCCATGATGCCATGTTAATTTTAGTCATGTTTTCCATTTCTTTTTTTTAATTTAATTTGGATTGTGCATTAGTGCATGAACTTAATCATCCAATAAAAACTTGAGAAGATTATTAAGAAATTAAACATGAACGACTTTGTAATTACTAATAATTAACCAACATAGATCGATGAACTTAACGAACGGAGGTACATTACTGCGTTAAGAGTATCTTTAATGCTACAATGTGCATGATACATACGAAGTATATGATATGAGAAAGATAGACACAAAAGAATAAATTCACGACATTTCCCTCTCATCCTTTTCACGGTCTTATGTATTTTTGATATGTTTTTCTTAACAAGATCAATCATAATGTCTACATCTAGACATTATATTGTACATCAAATTGTAAAGAAAAAATCATCAAAATCATGTAATTAAAGACGTACCATTGAAACAAGGAGAGATGTCAATATTCTAAAATTAACTTTATGTGGATATTCCTCTCATGTCACGTATGCACAAACATTCAAGGTTTTGCATCGGAGATGATCTTACTCCATGAGCTCCATGCATGCTATGTATACCTACCCATTATCCTAATTATCTTGCTAATTATATACAAGACTACCCAGTGGCGGAGCCAGAAAAATGGCTCAGGGGGGTCAAAACTCAACTTATATACAGAATGAAAATGGT